ATGTCCGCATCTTGTACAGCAATTAACCACTAGGAAGAATGTATGCAATGTGTTAATTATTGAAACTGTCCTACCAATATGGTTTGAAACTGTCTCATTGCTATTTGTTTCTCAATAAAATTATGGGGAAGAAAAGACCAAAAAAAAAAGGAAAGAAAGAAAGAAATAGTAATACAGATGAGAGCTATTGGCAACTTATACCGGGAAGGGGCAACAACAATGATTGTTACTATTATAATTACATAAGCATAGATGTTATCTCATTTTGTGTAACAAAAACATCCATAATCCATCCACATGGGTATTTATTTCTATATTTATTTTCCAAGTAAACTAGACTCAATTATATCAAAAAAAACCAAAAACAAAAACAAAATGAGTGCCTTCATAGTTAAGTACTGCAAAGTGTGAATTATATTTCAGTGTACTGAGTATTGGATTTTTAATCTACCCATGATACCAGAACTGTAACATATCCTGCTGGTGATTGCCTATAGATATCACTGTATTTGTTATATGCCCATTAACTTTTGTATAATTGTCACAAAATGCTGATTATCATTTATTTTTCTTTTCTATGTATTTAGTATAAGGTCTACAGGGCCCCACTAGTTAGATCCGACTCGTAGTGATCCTCTTGTTTTCAGCCTCCAAACGCTGGGATTACAGGCATGCGCCACCATGCCCAGACTCAATCACCTTCTCAGTGCACCCCAGGGGCGGGGCCGGCACGGCACATCGGGAATTGAATCCTGGTCACTGTGCATGCCTAGGCAAGTGCTTTAGTCCCCTGAGCTATCTAACCAGCTCTATTATTTATTTTCATCTTTGATTGTTTGACATTACATATATGGCTTCAACTTGGATTTGCGACTTTTTATGCCTTATAAATCAAAAATAATAATAATAATTTGTCTACAACTATGGAGAGGCATAGCTGCCCTGGAAACTTGGGCTCTTCCTGGGGCGCTGCGATCCCTCTCAGTGCCGTTGTTAAGTCCTCTACGCTGACTGTGACAGCTCCGCTCTGCCGGGTGAAGGCACGCCTTGGATGCAGTGTGTGGTCCAGGGTTGGCTCTCCACAGGAGAAGGCACCCTTGCGCTGCCTCAACATCTCGCACACTCACCTACCCTGTCCTCACCCATGTGTGGGGCACCAGGAGCCAGGCAGAGGGTTCGGAGCAGGGAAAGAAACGGCAAATCAAACATACCCGGTCCTTCCTGGGGACCTCCTGAGGTGGAGAAGAGGGAGTTGAATATGTAGTTTACATGGCCTATTAGGATCAGGGAAACTTGGCAGAACTTGTTATGATGAGAATATGGAAGAATCATTAGGTAAATCTGATAGTTACATATACTGCTGAGCCTTAGGATTTTAAGTACTGGTCTTGTTAATTTTAGGTAAAACTAGCGGAAAAGAATGACGATAGGGAGAGAGAAAAGAATGCCCTTCTTGCCATATTTATTTTCTGGAAATTTTAAATTTAAATCATAATAAATTTTGTATATTTGACTTACTTGAGTTAGTCTGCAGTTCTTGTTTGCGTCTGCTGTTGCTCATCACTTCTCTGAGGGTTAGGGCCAGCGCAGCCATTCTGTAGTTATAACAGGAGGCCTTCCAGAGAGCATTTTGCTAGGTCTAGTCTCTCCTTGTGCTTCAGATTTTGTCCCTGGTAGAATTAAGCTCTAAGATTTCACAACATGTGTTTGTGTGCTTGTAAGCACATTCGAGAGTTCCAAAGTAGGGATAGACTTTGCCTGGGAGTTTGGTCATTAAGTGACATTTCTTGAAGAGAGAAATGACACTCTGTGTTTTTCCAACTTTCCAGCAGCTCAATGGCCACCTTGAAGAAGAAACTCCAAGGCCTTGTGGCTGCGACCCTCACGCCAATGACTGAGAATGGGTAACTATCACTTGGGGCCCTGACGGGATCTGTTCTCATTCAACTGCCAAGGACAGACGTGCTCAGTGATAACAGTCCGGCGTAGTTCAGGCTCTGCTCATCTGCAGCATTCTTGTCAAAGGGCAGCTTCTGTGACTCACCCTCTGCACTGTCTCTAACCTCCAAGTCAGAGAAGGACGCACTCTGAATCTGCTTTCTCCTGGTATCTAGAGCCCCGCAGAGCAAATTCTCTTGGGATTTCACCTCAGCTCTGATTTTCCCAAATAAGGCCCATGAAATGCGTGAGGAGAATCCTATTGTATCATGCACTGTCCTGGCCCCTGGCCCCTCTAGGGAGCCATACTTCAGCATGATTCAGCCATGGTCTTCATAGACTTGATAAAAATGTCATATGCTACACAAAGTGGGAGGCTAGCCACACAATAGACCCCTTACGTATGTTTCTAATCTTTCTACATTGGTTAGGTGTTAAGACAAGGCAAGATGCAAAGGAGCAGAGGAAACAGTGGGTGATAGTTGGACAGTCGTTCCCCAGGCATCTGGACTTACAAATGAAGGCTGTGACAGTCCCCTTGCTTGTGGGATCCCGTGGTGGCCCTATGCCATACACAACTCCTCCTTGAACATTGCCACAAGAGAGGATTCCTCTACCCCCTCATCTAAATAGTCTTGACCTGTCAGTGGCTTCAAACTGCCAAAATAATCAAAAGGGATGATTCTTCAAGCTTCTCGCTTCTTCCTTTGTAAATAATAATACTTTACATACATCATAGAATTATGAGCACTAAACACAAGCATGCTTAAGCGCAGGCCCAGAATGCCTTTGTCAGTAAGTTTGAATGGTGGTGGCATAAGACAAAAGCAACAAGAAGATGAGCTATTTAAGATTTTTTTTTAAAGGCTTTTTTTTTTTTCATGTGCTGTCGCGGAAGTTGTAAACTTTACCTCTTTCAGTGAAATTTCTTAGGCCTTTCAGTATTTGCACTTAAGGTTGGCCATATCACAGTTCTTCCTCAGGCCATTAGAGGGCTAGACTTCTAGTTTCTAGGACTCATGAAAAGTCACATCCTTACCAGACCTAACTTGCTGAGATGGCATTTAGATTACTCAGCTGGTTCAAAATTGTTTTTCTGTTACTTTGCCCTTTCTGCAAGTTCTGAGAAATAGTGAAATCAGCTTTTTCTCAGTGCATCAGCTACTTGTTGAGCAGATAAAACAGAGGCATGCGACTGTAAGAACAGGCAGGATTTACTTCCTGTCACGGAGGGAGAGCCTGTCTGTAAACAGCCCACTCCCTCTGGTCCAGGCCACCGTAACCTTTGAATCAGACCTCTCATTCTGGAAGTAGCTCCTTCAGACAGTCTTCCTTGTTCATCTGGGACACGCTGAGAGTGGAAATGTGTTCTTCCTCTGGGTTCTGCTGTCTTCCGGAAACCCAGCCCCCTGCATTACAGATAACTCATAGGGCTTTGTTTTTCTGGATTTTTTTCTACTTCCCCAAACCCTCTGCTCTTATGACCTCTGTTTCACCCTTTCCTCTTTTTTCATCAATTTTCATTTTCTCTTTAAAGAACATTACTTTCCTTTCATCCCATGAAATCAAAATGAGAATGCAGAGTTTGTAGGGGCCTTTGGAGAATTAATTTAATTTTTTGTCATTGTTTTTGGTGGTGGTGCTGGGGATTAAACCCGTGGCCTTGTGCATGCCACTGAGCCACATCCCCAGCCATGGCGAATTAAACAGTATATGTCAGTGTATTACACATGACAGGTATGTGCACTGTGTTAGCGCCTTTCTCTCTCATCTGCTCTATTGAATATTCCTAGCCAGGTGTGGTGGCATATGCCTGCAATCCCAGCTATTCAGGAGGCTGAGGCAGGAGGATTGCAAGTTGAAGGCCAACCTGGGCAACTTAATTAGAGTCTAGCTTAAAGTAGAAATTAAAAAGGGCTCTAGATGTAGCTCAGTGCTCCTGCAGGTCAATCCCCAGTACTGAGGGGGAAAACGTTCACAGGTGTACAAAACAGGTATGAATCACCCCTGAGCACAGGTGGGCACTCACCTATTGGGCTGCAAGGGATCAACAGACATAAGGGGAACATGGACTGTAATAACTGGAAGTACTGCCCGTTGGTATGTCATTGGGAAAAGATTCCTAACATGGCTTGTCAGGAAAACCAGCACCTCTATAATTCCCAGTGGCTAAACACAGAGTATTTTCCTGAATCCCTTTTTCTTCCCAATTCCAAAGAATATTCACTAATGACTCTGCTGTTTTTGGTTTTTTATGTGTTTGTTTGTTTGTTTGTTTGTTTGTTTTGGGTTTTTTTGTTCTGCGGTACTGGGTATTAAACTCAGGACCTTATGCTTGCAAGACAGATGCTTATGCCACTGAGCCATATTCCCGGGCCAAGTTTGCCCTCTTAATGTAAGTTGATGTCTCAGAATAGGGAGGTTGGTATGAAAAAATAATTGGTAAACAAATTTTAGTCCAAGTGTCAGGATCTTTGATCCCAGCTTTGCACGAAGGACCTGTTTTAGGCATTGAGGACTTTCATACTCTGCAAAGAGCAGTCCAGACACACTGACTGTGCGGCCCATTCTGACTCACCCACTGCAGTTCTCTGACGCTGGGTCGCTAGCTGTACTCTGTCACCACGTGAGACTGTATGAAGTACACCCAACAGTGAGCTTCCCCGGAAACACATCCGGCCGTGGCACTCTCCTCTTGAGAGATCACTGCTGATTCTCTTGTGCTGAAGCCTCAGGACTCGCTTCAATGTGGAGCAAGTACCTGAGTGACACAGGGGAGTTGGCAAGAGTGCAGGCTCTCAGGCCTACCGCGCGCTACTGAACCTGTCTTAGTGGGGGCCTCATGATTGTTCAGAAGTGAACTGGTCCAGAGACTGATGCCTGGGCTCCCAGGGATGGCACAGCAAAGCCTCCATGATCTGCCTTTCCTTTCTACCACCTTATCTGTTTCTGCAAGTGTGTCATTCCCTTTCTTCCCCTCCAGAATGCAACTGCCTTTGTCCATTCTGTGCCATCTTCCTCTCTACCTCCCTGTTTCCCTTCTCTCTGGGAACATTTCTGTTTATCCATTAAACCACTGAAGGGCTGAAAGGAATATCTTCCTCTGAATCCTTAGATCTGCTGAGATAAACTCATCATAGCCTCAGGAAAAATCAGTGGACCTAAAGAGTGAACAAGAGTTTGTAAATTTTTTTTTCCCCTGGTAAGCTAAATAAAACCAAAGAACAGAAAGTAGCTGTGATAAAATTGCTGGGGTAGTGATACACCCAGCCTTTCTTCCTGTGATGGAGTTTAATCTTGCCTGGTCAATAAGGTTGTTTGGGTTTTTTTGTTTTGTTTTGTTTTTTAAATTTTTTGTTCATTTTAATGAAAAAAAAAAAAAAGATAAAATAGCAGTGAAACAGTTTCAAAACAGGTTAGTAGGACAGTTACAATAATTAATACTTTGCATATTGTTGTCTTCATAGTAGTCATTCGAAGGACAGCATCCAGACAATAAGGTTTAGGCAGGCGATGAGGACCTAAGATGGGAATTGCGATCCTTTTGGAGTCTGGAGGGGCTGCCCCTAACGAAGTGTTGGAGAATAGATCTACCCTGTCTCCAGGGGAGAAGCAGGAAGAGACCAGAAAGCCCTTGCTCCTGAGGCTGCTTCTGAGGCTGTTTTGTTTTGTTTTGTCTTGTTTTGTGTTTTGAGGTAGAGTCTTGCTATGTAATCCAGGCTGGCCTTGAACTCACTATACAGCGCAGGCTGGCCTCAGATTTACCATCACCCTCCTGCTCCAGCTTCCTGAGTTCCCTTCAGCTTCATGATTACAGTCCTGTGCTACCACACCTGGCTGCTACTAACCCTGTTTAGTTACCTTTGAGTTAGAGTGCCAAGCATACCAAAGCACATTTCTGAACTTGAACACGAGCCTGAAGTCATTCTTCCCATTTCCCATTAAAAAGTTTAGAGCCTCTTCCTCCTGGGATCCCACAGCACCTACGATTACCTTTTTGCAGTCCATCAAAATTATTTCCAACAATTATTAAAATAAGCCTCTTCCAGCAGGCTTTGAGCTGTCTAGCCTAATTCAACAGGTATTTACTGAGGGCCAGGCACCATAGAAGGCCGGACTTATGTCTAATTTATCCTCATAGCTTTAGCATCCAGCAAAGGTACTGTACACTTTTGTTATTTTATGAGTGAATATACTATTGAGATGACATGAGAGAAAAGAAAAAAGTACGCCCTGATCAAGCAAAGCCTTTGTGTCATTCATCACCCAGGGTATTTTCATTTACATATAACTTGACAGAGCTGTAGCTCTTTTTTGGCAGTTGGAAAAACTGAGATTTTAAGGACGAGCACCCTCTCCTCAAGACAGGTAGCTGGAAAGGAAGGTCTTTCTCCACCCATCCCAAATGCCTAGCCATCTCTTATCTTTTTTCTTTGCTGATTTTCCTTTATTCTTTTTTTCCTTGTTTTATTTTGTTTTGTTTTTGTATTTGTGGTTTTTCAGTTCTGAGAATCAAACCCAGGCCTTACACATGCTAGAGAAGTACTCTGTCACTGAGGCGCACCCCCCCCCCACCCATCTCCTTTTTCTACAAGGGAGGGGGGGAAGGAGAGGGGGAGGGGAGGGAAAGGGAGAGGGAGAGGGAGAGGAGAGAGACTCTTGCTTTCCTTCATACTTTCAGGAAGACATTTTTCCCTGTGGGCAAGGACACTGGAAGCCTATTTTAGATTGGACAAACTGTCAAGAAAAAAGTTGCATTTCTCCCTCAAATGTGTCTGGCTTCAACTTGAGAATTGTTACAGTCCTTTTTAAAACAAACTTTGTACTCCAGTCAGAAAGGGCCTGGCCTGCTACAGTGAGAAGCGCAAGAATTCATCACTGTCTGTTCAGCAGTGTTTGGGAGAATAGGTGACCCGGCTCCCATATCAGAGTATCTCAGCCTCTGATAAGGTAGGACATTTCGTTCTCTGCTCACTTTCTGCCCTAGAAGTTTTGAAATGTGATCATTCTGCCAGGAGCACACAGAACCTTCATCTGAGTTGGAGTGCTGACAGCTATATATGAAAGGCAAGGAAAATGGAATATTTGAGTTTCTGATATGGACGCTCTATCAGGCCAGTTATGTGTGTTCTGTCGCCTCAGTTAAAGTCATGCGCCAGCAGGGAGTGAGCAGCAGTGGAGATTTCTCTCTGAAAAGCTATTTAAAAAAAAAAAAAACAACTGTCTTACCCTTGTGCCCTGAGAAAAAAATTATAAAATTCTCTTATACTTCCACTTTGTCCCACTCTGGGCCTCACTTTGTGGTAAAACTAATTTCGTAAGAATTCCTTTTATGTAGTTTGGGTAAACTGAACATTAAGATTATCTAAATTACATTCATTTGTAAGATGGAATATTGTGTAGCCAGCGCAGTAATGGGTTATCTAAAAATGTGGAGAAATGCCCCATTTAGTGTGCTAAATGGAAAATATTATAAAACTATCATAATATAGTTATGTTTACTTGAGAGATATATGTTGTTTGTGTGTGTGTGTATATATATATGTATATATATATATATATATATATATGAGTAGAAAAGTATCAAACTCTACAAGAAGAATCATTTCCAGGTTTTTTTCTTTTTTGTTGTGTATAATTTTCTAAAATGATCTGTATAGTTACTATAGCAGGAAAGGAAAACAGCTAAGTACTTTTAATTTTAGGGGTTTAGTTTAGTTTAGTTTTGTTTTGTATTTTGTGCAGCTCAGACACATAGTGATCATCCTGTTTTCAGCCTCCCCAGCGCTGGGATTACAGGCGTGTGCCACCACACCCCAACTCTGTCGCCAGGGTCAGTGCAGCCTGTGGTGCCAGGGATCAAATCCTGGTCCCTGTGCTTGCCTAAGGAACCAATTAAAAAAAAAAAAATCATGTACCAAAGGCAAAGGAGCTGTACTTACAAGAATTACAATTGAGACAGTAACCTAGGGTTAAGCATAAGAATGGCAAGCATGAAACTGGGGGCTAGTCACCCTCCCCTGAGGTAACTGTGGTTAGATATGATCTCAGGGCTCACTGAGGCTGAGGAGGATGCGAAGATGCCGATGGAATACAGCCTGCTCCCACCCACTGATGTGCCACCTCACTTCTGTGAGCACAGAGCTCCAGATGTCCGTCAGAGAGAAGAACAGTGCAAGCTCTTGGTTTGCATTCTCTCTAGTGACTTCTTGCCAATTAATACAGAGCCTTCAGCCATGAAGAGACTTAGGCATCCTATGAAGGTAGAACACAGTAGAAAACTAGAAAAGGGAACGAAGTACCCAAGGAGGATTATTAACACCTTAGCCCTACCATGTGGATGCCTCTGTGATAACTGTGACAGTGGCTCTGGATGGCTTCGCTGGGTCTGCTTGCAGCTGGAGTTGCTAGGAGTCTCTGCCAAGGGCTACAGATGTGCACCTGCAGAGTCAGGCAGGGGTCTGAAGGGTGTGGGCTGTCCTGGAGAGTGCTCTTTCCCAGCAAATAGAAATGTAGCCCAGGAGCCATTAGATACCCTGGCTTCTCCAGTAAAACCCCTTTTTTTAAAATGTAAAAAGAAATTCCAACCTTATGAAAGTCAGACAGCACATTTAGAGGTTGCCTCTTTTCAATCTCTGGTGTCCCTAAGGGTATTTGATAGTTCCCCAAAAAGACCATAGGTGCCAGGACTTCTTCTGGACAATTCTATCACTTCCCAGAAATTCTAGCTTTGTTGCCATTCCTGTAGGCTAGAGGCATTTTATAAGAAGAAACAATCTGTTTTTCCCCTTCTGGAAGGCACAGATAATTAATTCATCACCCACTAGCACCTCAGTCTGAGGGGAACTGACAGAAAGCGTTTTACCCAGCAAGGCTTCGTGGTGTGTGGCGGGGAGGAGGCTGTGCCTTGACATCTCCTTGCCGGCCTCCCTGCTTGGCCTGTATCGGTCCCTCTTCTGAAGCCCCACACATTCATTTTTGACTCAGTCAGAGCCGTTCTCTTTTCCTGTTTCAGCTCATGATCCCTATCTACACCGTATTCTACACTCAGCTACCATAATGGTGGCATTTCAGAACAGCGCCCAATGTGGTATGAGCTGCAGGTAAAGGTGGAGATCATCGAATGCCCAACGCTTTGCCCACCCTTGGTTCAGCAAGGTGCCAGGCACAGACAGGGCAGGGAGGGGCAGCATTGTGACATTGTGGCATGAGCCTTGGGGAGGGTCTGCTGTCCCTTTAGCCTCTCGTAACTACAGCAGACAGAGCACACCTTCCTCTGAGTGGCAGGCCCAGGCCCACCAGCTACATTTTCTCTGAGTACTCTCTGAGCAGTGATTGCCTCTGCAGTCCTTGTTTTTAGTGTCTTTGCTTTCTTTTCTAAATTAATCATTTGCTAATTAATTTAGGGTAGAATCATAGGGCAGAAAGGATCAGCTATATTTAGAGCATTGGAGGCAGTAAGATGTACTGACGGCCTGGTGCCCACAGGAATGAATGGGAGAGATAAAATCCGCATCCAGCTCCTCTTCACAAGCAGCTAGAGCGGTATCAGCTCTATTGGCACACTTCAGGGAGACACAGTGATCCCCTTCATCCTCAGGAGTGTGCACCTGTACACAATACAGCTAGAATCTCTTTACCCACCCCCACTACCCTTCAACCCTTCTTTCTCTCCTTATTTACATAAGTTTTCCATTTTTCCTTTTCTCATCTTTTTTCTTTTCCCTTCATTCCCTTGCCTTCCTCTCTTTCCCATTTGAACGTACCTTTGCTTATAATCTCAAAGCCCATGTGTTTTCTAGCTCCTTGTTCTTATGCCCTGACAAATACCCTCTGATGTCTATTGCTTAAATGCATCCGATTTTTTGTTTCATTTTGTTGTTGTTGTTTAAAGAACACAACAAGTGAAGATGAAAAGGATGTTAATAAGCCTAAAATTCAATTAGGATCCTCTGGTCCTACTCACAGGAGGGCTAAAGGCAGCCAACTGGTGCATGGTGTTCTTAGCAGAGTAAGCATGCTGTTGTCACATTAACCCAGACCTGCTGCACCATTTCTCTTTGGATTTGCTCACTCCCTCACCCACCCTCCCCACCTGTGCTTCAGATAGAGAGAGACAGACAACTTCATATAGTGTGTTTTCTCAGTCCATTTACAGATTTTAAGATCAGTATGTTGTAAGGAAAAATGCCCCTGTCACCTTAAGCATCTTGGATGCTTCCCAGACCAGTGTGCCTGTCCTGGGAGGGTAGGACTGTGTGTAGCCTGTGACCTGCATTGTTAAGGACTCCATCAGAGAGCAGTGCTGCCTCCCCCAGACCTCACGTGGGCAGGCAACGTGGCAGCACAGCTCCTCTGCAGCTATGAATCTTCTTCATTATGAAACTAGTAAATACAGATGGGCGTGAGTCTCCATTTGCCATCACAAATGCTAAGTGCTGAAATTCTTAAGTGACCAAGAGTGAATTTTCCTGCCACATAAGCCTAAAAATGGTTGTTGCCCACCAAATAAAGCGAAGTTCCTATTGCATCCTTGTCCCCAAGACTGACTCTTCCTAAAAAAGGGCAAAAGAGAAAACGACTGTTAAAATTTGACTCGAGATGCAGTTTACATGCAAACCCTCTCTTGAAGACTAGCCATGTTTTGCGCATGTAAGTGAGGCACTCATAGCACAAGTGCATCCAGTGAAGATGTCTCGAGAGTCAGAACAGCAGCAACAAACAGATATTATTCAGAGCAGATTAAGAATTTCACAAACTGGCCAAGTGGATTTTTAAACTATGAACAAGATGGAGCAGTTTATAGACATAGGAATTGGCTGAATAGTCCTGTAAAAGACTAAATGTGCATTCTTTCCAATTTTTCCCCCTGCCTTTTAGAGAAATCAACTTTTCAGTAATTGGTCAGTATGTGGATTATCTTGTGAAAGAACAAGGAGTAAAGAATGTTTTTGGTAAGTTGCCTTGAGATTTCTCTGCCTATCCCTCCTTCAGGGTTTATAAGACAGATGCTAGGGCCAGCCAGATAGCTCAGCAGATTAAAATGCCTTCTCAGACAAGCAAAGTGACCAGGATTTGATCCCAGGCGTGTGGTGCCGGGCCTGCACCCGGGACACACTGAGACAGTGAATGAGACTGGGCATGGTGGTGTGTGCCTGTAATCTCAGCCCTTGGGAGGCTGAAAACAGCAAGAGCACTATGAGTCTAATCTGTAGTGAGACCCTATAGACCATGCACTAAATACATTAAAAATAAAAATAAAAAAGATGGATCCTACCTGGCTACCACCAGGAAGCCATAGAATCAGTGTGTCACAGCCTAGGGTAGAGTGCGGCTATGCTGAGTAAAAGACATGAATTTGTACACCCGCCTACATTCCATCTACAAAGCACCTCAGCAGCTCATGTGCTGGTGTGCCGACTGATATGCTGTTGTTTTTGTCTCCAATTAGAAATAAAAATCTGTGGTCCAGGTATACTCTCTTGATTAAGACATTCAACCAAGAAGTGGTAGCAGAGCAGCGCAGCCCACTTAAGTAAGAACAAATCCTCTTAGCGTCTTAGAAAAGGGATTTGTTCTCTCTGTGTCTGAGCTTACAAACTGTGAATGGAAAAAAGACTAAGACAACATACAAGGGAACCTCAGGTCTAGCCTTTATCTCTGCTCATTTCAGAGGCAGTGAAGGCTGGGTAGAGGGCAGGTCTTGAACAGATTGAGCTGCCCCTTGCTTGGCATTCTGGGCTCTCAGCTCCCTGATGGGTTTTCATTTTTTCTTTTCTTTTTTTCCAATACTAGGGAGTGAACTCAGGATCTTTGTACAGAGTTACAACCCCAGCCTTCCTTTTACTTATTTATTTTTTTATTTTCAGATAGAATCTCCCAAAGTATCTTCGTTGCCCAGCTTGGGCTTGAACTCTTCTTCCTCATATTTCAGCCTCCCAGCTGGCTGGGATGGTAGCTCATGCCAACACGCCCGCTCTGGATGGTTTTCAGTCAGTCTGAGGACACCATACGTGGGCCCTGGAGACACGATAGTCCAAAACAGAGCAGGTTAACACTTGTATGAAAAAGTGACCCAGACCTCATGACAATACCGGGAACTGACTACGGAGCCACTCCATGGCCCCCTACAGCTCTAAACCATGGTGGGGAAGACAGAATTGTCCTCCTCAACAAGAACCTCCAGCCTGAGCAGGAGAGCTAGCTCAGCAGCATGGGTGCCTGCCTGGCAAGCACAAGGACCCAGGTTCAATCCCCAGTACTGTATACCATGCCAGCCCTGGAACCACTATGGTGGGGAGGCTGAGACAGCAAGTCCAAACTGCATAGCAAGGCCCTGTATCAAAGATAAAATAAAATTTAAGAATTAATTTAAACAAGCAAAGTCCATCCCTATGACCAGATGTACATCTCAAGCCCCCAAAGGTTAAGAAGAGCATTGCTTTCTCCTCTCTCGCCTCCCAGCTACCCCTACTGCAGCCCAGCACTCAGCGCCTTCAGCTTCGGAGCGGAGCCCTGCACCTGAGGCCTCAGTGTGGTTCCCTTCCGCCACTGGCATTACCTGCCCTCACTAAGAGATGGTTGAATAGAAGGGTGACGATGAGTTAGGGAATCACATGGTTCTGGGTTCAAACTTAAGTTATTTTGTGTTGCAGACATCATGTTTTCTTCTGTAAAGAATTTCTACTTTGGGGCTGGAGAGATGGCTCAGTGGTCTAAAGCACCTACTTAGAACAAGCTTAGCAAAGCATCAGGGACCGCGGTTCAATCCCCCAGCACCACATGCCAGCCAGCCCCGCCACCTGGTGGGCTGAGCTGGCCACACACACACACCATACTCTCTCTCTCTCTCTCTCTCTCTCTCTCTCTCTCTCTCTCTCTCTCTCTCTCTCTCAAATAAATAAAAAAATTAAAAAAAAAAAAAAGAATTTTTACTTTGCTGGGTTGTGAGAATAAGGAAATATGTATGTGCTTGGTACAAAAAGCGTTTGTTTTGTGCCTTCTTCTAAATTATTTTTTAAGGCCAACCAGATAGCTCATTGGATTAAAGCACTTGCTTAGGCAGACACAGTGGCCGAGAGTTCAATCCCAAGGAGTGCCGTGCAGGCCTCGCCTACAGGGCATGCTGAGATGGAGACTAAGACTGAGTGTGGTGGCATGCACCTATAATCCCAGCGCATGGGAGGATCATTATGAGTCTGATCTGTGTAATGAGACCCTGTAGACCATGTACTAAATACTTTTTTTTTTTTTTTTCGGAACCGGGGATTGAACTCAGGCCCTTGCGCTTGTCAGGGAAGCGCTTATTCCACTGAGCCATCTCCCCGGCCCTGTACTAAATACATTTTTAAAATAAATAAACAATGTGTTATTTATTTATTTATATGGGTTGTGTATCCTAGAGCCCTGGCACCATGTCAAACTAAGGTAGTTTCCAGTTTATAGTATTCAGAGGAAATCCTCCTTAGAACCCTGTGAGACCAGATACAGAACTGCAGGGTACGTCTGGAGATTGGCCTTAAGTGGGGGTGGTTATCTCCGGTGGCCAGGCTGCCTGGGTCACAGTTAGCCTTCCCACTTTTCTTGACAAGGTGAAGGCCAAAGAAAGACAGAGGCTGAGCTGACTATGGTCATGTGGCCTTTGCCCTGCCCGGCCCCATCTTCCAGGGTGTCTCTGGGTCCCTTCCTGTCGGGCAGGCGCTTGTGACCCTGTGCTTGCAGACCTGGGGCTGGGGGTGAAAGGCTTTGACTGGCCCCACTGACTGGCTCTTTGTTTGGCACAGTGAATGGCACCACAGGAGAAGGCCTGTCCCTGAGCATCTCTGAACGTCGCCAGGTTGCAGAGGAATGGGTGACACAAGGGAGGAACAAGTGAGTGGATCCAATGAAATAAAATAAATTGATAAGATTGCACCAATATAAAAAGTATGGCAGTACATCGATGATGTTTTCCAGTGAACATAGGAAGAGCCAGATAAGTACTGTTGAACTCTTGTTCAGTAACAAGAGTTTATTTCCATGGGCAGTATGGTTTATTATTTTTTTAACCGAATACCTCCTCAGTAATTTATACCAGCTTTGCAGTAATGTGTATCAAATAAGAAGCACTGGAAAACTGATTGTCTCTAGGATGATATGCATGTGGTATTGAAAGCTACATAATGGATATGTAAGTATATCTGTTATTAATATGCTAAGAACTCTGCTCATTTAATGAGAAATAAAACTAACTTATGGGTAGAAAAATATAGGAATAAAATACAGTACATTCCAAAGAGCTGTATTGAGTGAGGCTCTTCCTCAGTGATGTGGCCTCCCTGCCTGCCCGTCAGAGGCTGGGCCAGACGTCAGATGAGCAGGGCCTGGGCATCCTGCCTTCAGTGAATAGGGTGCTCTTTCCTGCCCTTCCTTCCTGCATAGGCCAGTCAGACTGCCAGGCACATGTGGGCCCCATCTAGAGAACGCCTCTCATCCTTCTACAGGGTTACCTGTCCTTGGGCTGAAGAGGTGGATAGGGATGGTAGTGGGGGCTGTGGAGTGTCTGGCTGTTCCATGAACAGCTCACACTCCTTCCCTCAAGGAGAGTGCCTGACGCTTGGCACAGCTTTTGCTTTCCTTCAGGCCTCTACATTCGTGTGTGTGTGTGTGTGTGTGTGTGTGTGTGTACATGCATGTGTATAAGGCTCAGTATGTTCTTTAAGGTGCTTCCTGTAGCATCCTTGGGGGACTTTCTGTACCCTCTAAACTTCTGCATAGTAGAAGATTTTTGTCATAAAACCCTATTCCTGCTGTGGTAAAGCAAACTGGACAGTAGAGTTCTATGAGCACATCCGGCTCACCAAGTCTTTTTTTTTTTTTTTTTTTTTTTTTTTTGGTACTAGGGATGACTCAGAACCTTGTACTTGCCAAGCAGGTGCTTATACTACTGAGCTATCAAGTCTTATTTACTGGTTCTTATATTGTTATGTGTTGGTTCTCAGCAGGGCCCCAAGGATATAAACCAACCTCTGCCCTCAGCCTGCTTTCCATCCAATAGGGAGTCACATCATGAACCACACTGACACTCTGACCCTTCTGAGAGACATATAAGTGGGGAAGGGAGTGCTTGGAGTTGCCTCAAGTGGAGGTAGAAGACTGGAGGAAAATCCCATATAGGCCTGGAGCAGAGGTGTTGGCCTGAAGCCCATGCCCTCCTTGGGGGTCCTTGTGTGGCTTCTGAGCACTCTGACTATTCTGAAATTATGTGCCAAGTTTGACCATATGTCCCATAAGCATTTGCAGAAGTGATCCTTCAGCTTTCAGTTCCACAGGCAGATCTAGGGTCCAAAAAGATTAAAGGCCATGGCTAAGTGGGAAAAGAGGAAGGCTAAAGATAAACATTAGGGAAGCAGTAGAAGTGGGGAATAGAGGTGTGTACAGGGGCAGAAAGTCCTCCAGAAGGCAAGAGAGGAGGGAAATGAATCCTGTCACTGCTGGCAAGGGGAAGGGTTCCAGAGAATATCTGTGTGGCAGTGATCCAGAGTAGGATTGGAGAGGTAGGGATTAGAGAGGCACCCTGCCCTGTAAGACAGGCCAGCAGCCTTGCTTTCTCCATGCAGAAGTCTTCTTGGGATGGAAATCCACTGGGTCACTTCCCGGCCAGGCCCCATTTACCTGAGACATTGCAAAGCAAGAATCACTGGAGCACTCAGCACGTGGCGCAAATGCAGATGCAGTCTCCATCGCAGGAGGGCAGTGGGCAGCAGTCAGAGCCCCCGGGAGACCTAACAAGAATGACCAGATGTGCAGCTGAGCTGTTGTTAGTCTGCTCAGGTGCCCCGAAGATGACCATGGAGGACTCAGAGCAAAACATCCTGAGAAAGAATTCTGAGGAGTTAAAAGACAGGAAACAGCTTTTCGGTGTTTTGTTTTGTTTTTTACTTTTGATGGCCCTGAGATTTAAACCCTGGCCCTTACATGGGAGGCAAGAGCTATACCACTGAGCTACATCTCCTGCCCAGGAAACAGCTTTCACAGGGAATCCATCTGTCGTAAGACTGGTTCCTGTTCTACTCTTCAGGGTTCTCTTCAACCAAAAATATCTCAGCATTTTACCTATTGGCATGTTTGTGACACCATCACACACAAGGCTAAAACAGTACTTGATCAGGGGCTGGGGAGATGGCTCAGTGGAATAAGTGCTTGCTGGTAAGTGAAGGGGTCTGAGTTCAATCCCTGGTTCTGAAAAATAAATAAATAAATAAACTTGATCAATATAAATGCTCAAGTATTGATTAATCAGTTACTATTTTTCAAAATTCTTCTGTTTGTCGAGCCTTAAAGTTTATTTTCTGTGGGCTGGTGAGATGGCTCAGTGGTCTAAAGCACCTACTTAAAACAAGCTTAGCCAAAGCACAGGGACC